TTCATATATATATATAGACATGTCTGTAAGGGCCAGCCTTGAAAAACTGTAAACTGACATTCACATAATTCTCTGTTTGACAGGTCACGTGTTTCATATATATATATAGACATGTCTGTAATCCCAGTACGGGCCAGCCTCTTTTGGGGGAAGTCGTGGCCTAATGGTTAGAGAGTCGGACTCGTAACCCAAAGGTTGCGGGTTCGAGTCTCGTACCGGCAGGGATTGTAGGTGGGGGGAGTGAATGTACAGCGCTCTCCTCCACCTCACAGCGCTCATATTCAATACCACGACTGAGGTGCCCTTGAGCAAGGCACCGAACCCCCAACTGCTCCCCGGGTGCCGCAGCAAAAATGGCTGCCCACTGCTCCGGGTGTGTGTTCACAGTGTGTGTGTGTTCACTGCTGTGTGTGTGCACTTTGGATGGGATAAATGCAGAGCACTAATTCCGAGTATGGGTCACCATACTTGGCCACATGTCACGTCACTATATTAATGCTAAATGCATAAATTAGTATTCATTATTATTAAATTATATGTATATGTGTATGTGTGTATATAAATGTACATAAATACATAAATAAGTGTGTTACATTTCCGTCAGCTGGTGGAAGAACTTCAGGATTTTCTTTTCTTTTTGTAAAAAAAAGAAAAAAAAAGATAGGTGTTTTTTTTTTTTTTGCATTGTAATAAAAATCAGCCGTGTAAATGGTCAAATTTGGGGTGTACCTCAGGCACAGGGAACCACAGGAAACAGTTGGCCGGCAGTGACCACGGGCCATGACCCGTTCCCATAAAGAACTGGGCATTTTGTAGTGGAAGCCTTCCACTGCTGTTCCAAGTCTGGATCACGTCCATATCTTCTGGCATTGACATGTCTGTAATCCCAAACACAGAGGACGCACTTAGTAAACAAAGAGTGAAACGAAATGAACAATGAGAGACAGGATTAATTTAAGTAAATAATTTTCACCAGTGCCTGGACCCGTGGTCTTTGTCTGTGCGACAGTGGCATCCTTGTGGTATATATGGCATTTGGCATTGTCAAGAGGGCCAGCTGCATTCTGCACGCTCCCAGTACCACTGCCAGCCCGGGTCTGTGCCATGTGGGCACCATCTGCACTCCTGCCCAACTCCACGTCTCCACCTTAGGAAGAACAGGTGACAGGATTAATACAGGAGGATCGTGAATACTAGGCAAATCCAAATGCCATTTTCAAAGCCATATGCCACATTAAGAAAGGAAAATCACCAAATAAAAATGTACATTTGAAGTACTATGTCAACATCAATGCCTCTTTAAATGCTTTAGTGAAGGTTAGCATACATAATAAATTGATCAAAATAAATCAAAACTGAATTGGTCCCCAGAGGCTAATTAATTGTGTTAAACTGATGCAAAATCTTAAGATTTTTTTAATATAAATACACTAACAATCTGCACGTACCCTTTGGCCTTTAAGATGCAGAAAAATTGACAAAAGTAAAGGGAGAATAAGAGATGGCAGGAGGGAGAGGAAAGAAAAACATGAAGATTGCAAATCGATTGTGTTTAGACTGCTATTACAGCTGTTGTTCACTGATGAGCTGCACAAAACCACGTTCATTTTTGCGCGATTTTTTGCACAGCTCGTCAGTGAACAACGGCTCTGTGTAGTTAATGCTGCTCATTGTGAAAGCCCGCAGGTGATGGAGATTTACCGCTGATTACAGAACCGGCTTTCTGACTAGATGCGCATTAAATATCGCATGCGATTTATCGTGCAGCCCTAATTTTGAGATACATTTTAGTTTTTACTTTTTGCCAATTCTGCAATTTCCAAATGAGTCCACAGCATAACTGTTTTGCATGTCCAAGCAATACAGTGGTGCTTTATAACTGAATAAATCAGTATTTTGAATGAATCAGTTTAATGAATGATTCAATGACAAAATGAATCAGCTGTTTGAATGAATTGTTTGAATTGACTTAAGACTTGCCACCACCAACTGTTGGTTTTAGTTTCATATTTAAAGTATCTATTTTTTCAGTTTAAGGGAAAATATTGCCTCGAAGTAAAGTTAATTTCTGTCACTACTGTGAACTAACCACTGAACAGATATGAAAAGCTTCTGGAGTCATTGGTCCATTACAGGACAAAATAGTCAGTACCAGCACAAAAACACACTTTGGAAAATATCAATTGTCATTATTGACAAAATCTCAACAAAAAAAAAAAAGACCTATTTTTGTTAGCATAAAACTGGCAATATTGTGTCTAGATGTAAGTTACTCAATATTAACTTATTGTTTCCAGTTGTCAATGTCACACAATAATGCTTGCCTTCTTGTTCATCAGTAATTTATCAGAAACAGCCCAAGCGGTCCTTGCTAGCTCTAACGTGCTGTTTTTGAATTAACGTGATTAAGTAGATCAGATCACCCAACCAGAACAGCAAGTTTACATCTATCCATCAATTTGCTTCTGCATACTTTTCTTAGTTAAAATGACACTTTTTGAAACAGTTATATACAGGTGCATCTCAATAAATTAGAATGTCGTGGAACAGAAACAGCCCAAGCTGTCCTTGCTAGCTCTAACGTGCTGTTTTTGAATTAACGTGATTAAGTAGATCAGATCACCCAACCAGAACAGCAAGTTTACATCTATCCATCAATTTGCTTCTGCATACTTTTCTTAGTTAAAATTACACTTTTTGAAACAGTTATATACAGCTGCATCTCAATAAATTAGAATGTTGTGGAAAAGTTCGGTGAGGCAGCAGGTGGAAGTGGAGGAAAGTCTTCGTCTGAGGGCCCCTCAGGGATGTCTGTTTTCCGTGTGGCCTGTTTAGGTAGAATTTCTTCAAGAAACTCAGTTTTGGTGTGCCTTTGTCTGACCCTAGCCTGTTTCATGACCATGTCTTTAAATAAAGCTTTGCCGATGGATCTGTACGCTTCACGCTCTGATTACTCCGTAGTTACGGAGTAATCAGAGCGTGAAGCGTACAGATCCATCTGCAAAGCTTTATTTAAAAATCTTAAAAGACACTTTGTTGGTCCTAACTAGGCTACATACCATCACATACCATCACTGTTGATATTTCACCTTATGCTTGTTGCTCGGTAAATTGTGTTTCTTTCATTGCATATTAAGCAGTAAGTTTGTCTTTCAATTTTAGGCCTATTATATTATATTATATTATATTATATTAAATTAAATTAAATTAAATTGTTATATTATACATTTTAATCATATAATGCATTCTTACAATCATAGATTTTATTGTCTATGTTGTTTGCACACTTTTGCAAAGGCGAGAGAGAGAGAGATGCTGTAAGCTCCTACTGCAATCTCGCTCTTCATTTCATATGCTTAAATCTTGAAACAGTAAACCCCGAGGTGGAAATCCCTTAACGATTATTTTCACGCCTGGAAATTGTAATGACAATTTTTACACATAAGAAAAAGAGAAGAAAAAGCAGCATCAGAACCACCTCAGAGGTGGCATATTTTAGTGAAGCGTTCATGCTGCATCGAGTATTTGCATTAGGATCACAGAATTAGGGCACCGAGTCTGATCAAACTCTTTTATTTGTCACATACAAATCTATAAAAGGCAAAATAAGCATCAACTGTGAAGTACACACCCCAAAAACTAAAAACTCAAAGTATGAGCGAGCGAGAGAGAGAGAGATGCTGTGAGCTCGTACTGCAGTCGCGCTCTTCACTTCATTTGCTTAAGTCTTGAAACAGTGAGCCCAGAGGTGGAAATCCCTTAACGACTATTTTCACGCCTGGAAATGATTTAGACAGTGATGAAGGCTGTAAACTTCCACGAGTGGGCGGTGACAGCGAGTGTATCCTAACGCTCCTTATAGTGACTCGTTGGGAGAAAGACAGAAACGTGTATTTTCAGCGTTGTATTCATTGGAAATTAAATTTAAACGCGCGCGTGGGGGGAGTGTACGGGCGTATGCCGCATCATCCGTTTGAATCGCTTTCCAGACTTAATCCGTCTGTAACGTTCTTGTGAGCTTGAAGACACCATACAGTTCACCTTATCAGCTCTTCAGGTTTTAGGAGAGAAAGCTTCTATTAGAATCTGCTCACCCCGCGGCTCGCTTGAGATGGTTCAGTCCAGCTGCGAGGGTCCAGTCTTCATGCACTGGGATTTTTCTCAGCGCCGACACCAAGTGACTCTTCCTTTTAAAACCATCTGATAACCGTGCCTATCAAAGAAAAAGCCCACCATGCGCGCCTCTTTGAATCTTGACAGAACGGGACTCGTGAGGACAGAGTGCAGATGTACATATAACGGGACGAGGAAACTGGATGGTATAAGGATTTTTGCGCTAATAATGTTTAGATTAAATATTGTATTGAATTTCAAATATAAACAAAAATAATTATGCAAACAGCTACAAATCATTCACGTCACCTGAATGGATTGTAGGAGTCTTCGCAGAAGAAAAAAAAAGTTTTGGGAAAGAGAAAGAAAGAAAGAAAGAAAGAAAGAAAGAAAGAAAGAAAGAAAGAAAGAAATATTGTTACTTGAAATAAAATAAAGATTAACTGAAATATATCTAATATAAAACGTTTTTATTATAACATTTTTACAACATTTCTTATTTAAATTTAGTTTAACTTGATGTACTAAAATTAACTAAAACTAAAACTGAAATAAAATTAATAAAAAACTATATGGCTATGTCATATTGAGAAATAAACACGATTAAACATTTTTAAAAAATGATTAAAGGTAATATTAAAGTAACAATTAAACCTAAAATAAAATAAGATAATAAAAAAAATAAAATAAAACCTATTTCAAAATATGAATTAAAAAAATAGTATATCAGCCTACTAAAATAGCCCACTGTTGCTGTTTTATTTAAAACAAAACAGTTTATATATATGTCACGAATCCTGTCCGTGACATTCTGTCCGCTTGCCACCAGAGGTCGCCTTCCCATTATATTGACTCTCACATTACACAGACTGTCACTTGACAGAACGGGACTCGTGAGGACAGAGTGCAGATGTACATATAACGGGACGAGGAAACTGGATGGTATAAGGATTTTTGCGCTAATGAAGGTGGGAGTACAGGCGCATCACTGGAGCGGGGTGCTGTTCTTCTATATGGGGCTGCTGGCTGCATCGGTTAAGGGTGAGTTTCCCGTTATGCTGCATGTGGTCCTGTTGCCGTGAGCGCGACCCTCTTGGAGGCTACATATGTGACCCTTTTACTCCTGACATGTGGATGGAGTGCTGTCATTGTCAATTCTGTGCCAATGACATGTAATGTTGGGTCGTGCGTTTTATTGGTACGGATCTACCAGGCATCAATGGATATAAGCAGAAGACTAGAGATACATACCAGTCAATTGCATGAAGAGGTCGTACATACAGTAGCCAAGTGTGTCATTTATTTGTGCGTGAATGTATTTCGATGCAAAACAGCCTTGTGTACTTTTCATAGTGCATTTGGTGTTATTTCTTGCCAACCTTGGTCTGCCCCATGTAGGCATAATATGTTGCATTATACTTTGAATAACACCTCAGAACAATTGGAGAGAAAGGAGGGTTTCATGCCAACAAAACAAGTCTTTGACTCTGCGCTATTTTCAGCATGTATTTGACCATAATAGGGATATGCTTCTTCCGTCCATTCCATGAGCCAAGTCATTATCTTAGGAATCATTAGCCTATTTGTTGCGTTTCTTGAAATTGTGGCATTCCCAACCAATATCCATCCATCATTTACCTTGAAGGGAATTTGCAGTTAGATTGCTGATGGTTTTAAGCCCACATTTAGCTAAAAACAAGTGTCAAGATATACACTGAAAGGATTTATAGTTTCCCTTTTAACACCGTGACTGTCGTTCTATCATCTCATTTTCTCTTCCACGTAAGCGAAGATAACAACAAGTCACACAGGTTTGTTCGTGCGTGTGAGAGCCAAGAGTGAATGAGTGAGTTTGGGAGGAAGGGGGGCGTATGTGGAGGCTGGAGAGAAAGGAGGGTTTCATGCCAACAAAACAAGTCTTTGACTCTGCGCTATTTTCAGCATGTATTTGACCATAATAGGGATATGCTTCTTCCGTCCATTCCATGAGCCAAGTCATTATCGTAGGAATCATTAGCCTATTTGTTGCGTTTCTTGAAATTGTGGCATTCCCAACCAATATCCATCCATCATTTACCTTGAAGGGAATTTGCAGTTAGATTGCTGATGGTTTTAAGCCCACATTTAGCTAAAAACAAGTGTCAAGACTCCACTGAAAGGATTTATAGTTTCCCTTTTAACACCGTGACTGTCGTTCTATCATCTCATTTTCTCTTCCACGTAAGCGAAGATAACAACAAGTCACACAGGTTTGGAACAGCATGAGGCTACATTGACGACAGATAATTTCTATACATTATTTTTGATTGAACTATCCCTTTAATTCAGCAGCATATTGAACAGTGTCGCGCTACTGAGATTCAAGTCTTGTTTTCCTCAAGAGTTATTGATAGTTAGGACATGATGATAAAAGTGGTAAAAGAATCCACAAAGCGGGTCGACATTTTATGTTTACACATTGTATGGTGTCGAATCAGTAATATCAAGAGCAGAATGTACTGCGTTTTTGACCGATTCCGGAAAGCGTTCGCGAAGCCGTTAAGCAGTTTCCCTCTTTTTCCATTGAGCGGCACTAGAGCTTCAGAATAGCTGCGCTTACACATAGCCGGCAGTGGAGTCTCTCATGCTTCATTAAAAAACCGAGTTTATCTTGGAAGCCTTTTAGAGTTTTCGTGTTAGAACATAAACTATGACTGGTGACTTTTTTTCTAGCTGGAATGATATGCAAATTTAATGCCTCTTCAGCTACTGGGGCATGGCTGAACTCATCATGTAAAAAAAGAGGGCATACAATAAATTGCACGAAATGTTTTTAAATGTAAATAGTTTTAACCAGAAAAATGTACAATACAAACTGTTTTGGTTAAGTTACCATGTAGTCTACAGTAAAAATGACAATATTTCTGAAAATATACATTCCATTTTCCTGTAAAATCTATGTGTGTGTGTGTGTGTGAAATTTAATATTTATAGTAAAATATTGTGAACCAGATGATAAGTATAAATCACCGTATAAACTTATAACCATCACATATATTTGGATTTTATTTAAAAAGTTAGTTTATTCTTATTTTTGTTTGAACATGAAGTTGTTTGTTTCTTTTTATGTGGTTCATTTAATGTTTATAATATGACATGCTGCAGTTCCGACAGTCCCAGATGGCAGTTATTTTCTTAGATTTTTATAGTGACCTTGTAGTCTTCATCTTTTCAAAAGTAAAATATTTGAATTTAAAGAAATATATATTATAAAATAATCCCATTAATCTGTTTCTGTCATATACTGTAGTGTGAAAGAAGTTATTTGGTTAATCATGTGCTCTTGCTCAGCATCAGAAGTCACTTCTCTGGAGACATGACATGAAATTATTTTTTCATATTTTAGCCAAACAATATCACTAACAACTAATCATCATGGTTGTTTGGCTCAATCCCATTTTCCTTGCCCAGAATCTTTGATAGACACTTGACTTCATAAAATGGTCAAAGTCACAAAACCAATGCACTTACATGATGCAACTTGGTGTAAGGCTCTACTGAACACGAAAATTTGTAAGCATGCAGAGAAATCTTTTCATCATGTTGGAGGGAGCTTGCCACATGTATTCAGTTTTGGCCAGTCCCTTTGGTTGTTTGAGCATACACAATTTTGTAACTTTTGAGAATACCTTAGGGAGAAAATTTCAAGCTCCTTTGAAACCCAAGCAGAGATTGTGCACTCTTGTTTTGAAACAAGGTCCAGTGCTATGTAAGCATGATACATTTGTCAGCTGACCAGTAACATGTGTTTAAAGGAGACTTGAAGGAATCGCTTAGAGCAGTTTATGGGTGCTGGTGTTCTCTGACACTTCAGCACCACGGACAGCTCCCCTCCAGCTCTGCTCATTGCTACTGGTTGTCTTCACAAACGACTCAAAGTCTGCCTTGGCAAACAAAGACTTGTTAGACATATTTTGTGCAAAGTAACACTGAGAACAAAGTAACACTAAATGTTTGTCTGAATGTAACCGTCGGCTTCTGATTTGACTCTTAGAGTTGAAATCCCCAGCTGCATTCCAATTAGGACCACGGACAGCTCCCACCAGAGCATTTAGCACAGCTGTACACAGCACAGCACAAGCTGGTTCTCTCAAAAGGGGACAACTCTTACACTCAAATGGTGTTATGTGTCATAGAAACCTCCTTCACTATAATATTCTGTCACTTTCATACTTGCTAACATTTGTTTTACTCATGTCATTGCTTATTCATCTCTTCATTCCTCTCCGTTCTCTTTTTATAGCACAAGCAGGCATTATAACCTGTTCCAAGAAAATTAACACCTGCCAATCTGTTTGCTTAGACTTTAAAGGTAAAGACTGCTAAACCGGTCCGTTGTTTGCATGCATCTCCCAAAGGGCTGAAGGATGCCTTTGGCAATAAATGAGATGATTTGTTTACACAGCTACCTGTACATTAATAGTACACCAAAAGTTTCCCTCATTTGAATGCACTACGGTTAACATCAGATACATGTGTGACTTTATGGTCATCATATTAAATGGATATTTCTGTACTAATAATTTAGCAATTTACTTGCCCTCATGTCGTTCCAAACCTGTATGACTGACTTGCTTTGTTCTGCAGAACACAAAATGTGTTTTGGTCATACAATAGAAGTCAATGGCGTTCAAAACAACACTGGACTTTGAATTCCATTGTACAAAAAAAAAAAAAAAAAACTTTCCAGTTTCAAAATATATTTCACAGAAGAAAGAAAGTCGTACAAGTTTGGAATGATATGGGGATAATGGCAGAATTTCATTTTTTGGCAAATTATCCTTTTAATGTAGAAGACAACAGTTAAATTTATTATTACACAGGGTTTACCGGACATACATAGAAATGCTTTTGATGAAGCTGAGATTGAAGAACAGTACAGGCAGCTCTGCACACAAACACAGACACAATATGTAACACAAAACTGTGAAAAAAAGCTATATAAAGTGTACAAAAAGTATGGAATGTGAAACTTTCTATATGTAAAACAGTAAAAATGGTTGACTTCATTGTCTTTGTAGCTGTTCTATGTTCTTTGTCTTGTTTGAGTATAATGATTGTGAAATACACACATATGCTTTCAGATAAATTTACATAGATATGGAAATGCAATTATTATGGCTCAAGAGGTTTTCAGCTTGGATCTGTGAAATGCATGTAGGCTTCCATTATGGTACACAGCTAAGACCCGGGTTAAAAGACAAACCAAAGAAAATATGTACCTGACAGAGCTGAAACTGGCATTATGGCAGGCACGGAGGGAATTTTGTATGTAAATGTTTTTAGTTGTATTCAGCTGTAAGATTGTTTTTTTCTATTAGAGTATACTTTGAAGTATATTGGGTTTTTGGACAAAGAGTGATTCAAGGTCAAACATGAATTGGAGCATATTGTGACAAATGGGCCTATTATTGTAAAGCTTGTGTTGGATTTTCTGTGTGATGGTGGCTGAAAGAACACAAAAGTAATGTCCATACTGTTCAGAAGTTTGGGGTCAGTAAGATTTGTATTTATTTATTTTAAAAAGAGTCATTAAATGAATGAAGATGTTTATCATTTTACAAAATAATTATATTTCAAATAAATGCTGTTCTTTCAGCCTTTCTATTCATCAAATAATCCTTTGGTTTCTAAAAAAAATAAGCAGCACAACTGATTGATACACTGATAACGATAAGAAAAATGTATTTTGAGCACCAAATCAGCATATTAGATCACATGTGTAAATTACATTTTAAAATAATTGTATATTTCACAATATTAATCTTATTATTGTATCTTTGTTCAAATAAATGCAGCCCTGGTTAGAATAAGAGACTTTAAAAAAACATGAAAAAACTTGCTGACCTTTTGAATTGAAATTGAAGTGTGAAAATTATACAGTAGTTTACTAATGTAAAGTTCATACATTCTGCCCAGATTTTTTTACAATGGATTCTCTCTGAAACAGTTAAGTGTAATGGTTAAGGTTCTCTGACCAAAAACTATGATAGAACTGATAG